TAAGAATTTGTTGACCCTTTTCTTGCTATGATTTTAATGAATATCCTTCAATCTGCACTTCTGTTGTTCTTTCTAATGAACTTCGCATTCTTCTTGCATTGTTTTGTAGCTATCGACGCACCTGGCGGATTTTTGTTTGAGTGGTGGTCTGTCTTCTGGGATATATTTATTGCTAGGACCAATGAGAAGCATTCCGAGGTTGCTGCATCTTACATCGAGGTCTCTTTCTTTGTTTACTCATACCACTAGTGATTCTATATCTGTGCAACGCTGCGATATACCCTTTAGCTAGTGATATGGAGTTGGTTAGCAGCTCGATTGCTTACGGTTGAACTATGTTCTCTCTTTACATTGTGTTTGAAGAGAAGATTTTAGAAGTTTACAGGATTTAAAATTTTGTGTGTGTTATTTTTTTTACAGACACAGATGATTAAAGCGCGAGAACAGCAGTTGCAGCAATCTCAACACCCACAAGTTTCACAGCAGCAGCAACAACAGCAAATACAAATGCAACAACTTTTGTTGCAACGTGCACAGCAGCAGCAACAACAACAGCAGCAGCAACAACATCATCATCAGCAGCAGCAGCAACAACAACAACAACAACAACAACATCAAAACCAACAACCTTCTCAACAGCAACAGCAGCAGCAGCAACCAGCGCCTCAACACCAACAGCAGCCAACACCACAGCAGCAGCCACAGAGGAGAGATGGGTCCCACCTTGCAAATGGATCAGCAAATGGACTTGTTGGTAATAACAGCGACCCGGTTATGAGGCAAAATCCTGGGTCTGGGAGTGCCTTAGCAAATAAGGCATATGAGGAGAGGGTCAAAATGCCTACTCAGAGGGATTCCTTAGATGAGGCTGCTATGAAGGTTAGTTTAGGCTAGGCATGTGTTTTGCCACACCTTAGTTTCATCAAATTTTATAACTCGAATTTCTGTTGGCTATAGCGATTTGGGGACAATGTTGGGCAACTGTTGGATCCAAATCATGCATCGATGCTGAAATCTGCTGCTGCTTCCGGACAGTCTGCAGGGTACTGCTCTCATATTTCTACCTTCATTGATTCCACTTATATTCCTTGTTACCTCACCTAGTATGAAATGAATATTGCAATGAAAAAGCATTCCATCTCTCTTATCCTAACGCCATTTGCTGGTGAATCTCAGGCAAGTGTTACATGGTACAAGTGGTGGTATGTCTCCACAGGTCCAAGCTCGAAATCAGCAACTCTCTGGGTCTGCAGTGGTATGTGATATTGATTCTAGATTGTGTCTAGTCCCTTGTAGAGCTTTACTGTTAGTTAATACCTGATGGGCTTATTTGTGCTTAGGATATAAAAAGTGAGATCAATCCGGTGCTCACTCCCAGAACTGCTGTTCCAGAAGGGTCGTTGATTGGAATTCCTGGTAGGTTTGCTATATTTTTTAGATCCCAACAAGGATATCATTTTAGTAGGTTAAGCGTGTCAATTGTAGTAAGGGTACTTTCGGCTCGTAAGAATTTTCCCCCAAAACTTGATTATGATTAGTGCTTACTGGTTTCCTGTTCAGGTTCAAATCAAGGCAACAACCTTACACTTAAAGGGTGGCCACTCACCGTAAGCTTTTCTCCATGCATTTTTCTCTGGAGGCTCACGCTTTTATTTCAAATGAATTTCCTTTTTGACTGCTGCCTTCTTTCCTGGTTTAGGGATTTGATCAGCTTCGTTCTGGTCTTCTTCAGCAGCAGAAACCATTTATGCAGTCTCCTCAGTCTTTTCACCAACTCAACATGTTGACTCCGCAACATCAGCAGCAGCTCATGCTGGCTCAACAGAATCTAAATTCACAATCCGTCAGTGAAGAGAACAGAAGACTGAAAATGCTACTGAACAACCGGAGCATGAGCCTCGGAAAGGATGGCCTTGGCACTTCTGTCGGGGATGTGTTACCTAATGTTGGATCGTCATTACAACCTGGTGGCCCTCTTTTGCCTCGTGGGGACACCGACATGCTACTAAAGGTTTGCCTTCTCTTCTCGTGACAAATCTTAAGTGGGTGACTTATATATCTTACAAAGTTTGCAACTTTGAATAAACTCTTACAGTATCGTTTGATACAATTTGAAGAATATAGAGCAGTATCTGCTCATTTTCAAAGGCTAGGACGTCTGCGTTAACAATTGCGTATGCTTTGTAGTTAAAGATGGCTCTGTTGCAGCAGCAGCAGCATCAACAGCAAGGTGGTGGAAATTTACCACAACCACAGCCTCTTAATCAGCACGCCCTTTCAAATCAGCAATCACAGAGTTCAAATCACAACATTCATCAACAAGATAAATTGGGAGGAGGTGGTAGTATGACGATGGATGGTAGCATGTCAAATTCTTATAGAGGAAATGAACAGGTCTGTTCTTAAATTCCTGTTTATTTTCCTAGTTCATGTTTAGTTTCTTGTGAGCCTGAGGTCGATTCCTAAAAAGTTTTTGCATTCGATTGAAGGTATTGAAGAATCAGAGTGGGAGAAAAAGAAAGCAACCGGTTTCGTCTTCTGGGCCAGCTAATAGTACAGGAACGGCTAACACTGCAGGACCATCGCCAAGCTCAGCGCCTTCTACACCTTCAACCCATACTCCTGGAGATGTGATTTCTATGCCTAATCTGCCTCATAGTGGTGGTTCCTCCAAAGCAATGATTATCTTTGGTAGTGACGGAACTGGGACTCTTACATCTCCGTCAAATCAGTTGGTGGGTTTCTTCAAACTGTTAATTGGATTGCACAGAAGTTTTTGTAATCAATATATATTAGTAGCATCAATTATTGGCTATTTTGCAGGCTGATATGGATCGATTTGTGGAAGATGGGTCACTTGACGACAACGTTGAGTCTTTTTTATCACATGAAGATGGTGATCAACGGGACGCCGTTGGGCGGTGTATGGATGTTAGTAAAGGTGTGTGTTTAAGCCCCACTCAACCTAATTTAACATTAACACCGTGAAGTTTTCTTCTTTAATCCAACAGTATTTCTCAATCACTACAATGATGCCTCTGCACCAGGTTTCACGTTTACTGAAGTGAATTCAGTACGTGCGAGCACAAGCAAAGTTACCTGTTGCCACTTCTCATCGGATGGAAAAATGCTTGCTAGTGCCGGACATGACAAAAAGGTAAGGCGGAAATCATCATTATTAGATCTTATGGCGTTCGGAGACTCAAGAGTCTCTTGGCTTGGTGCATTTTGCAGGCTGTACTATTTTACACAGACACTATGAAGCCGAAGACCACCCTTGAGGAGCACACGGCTATGATAACAGATGTCCGTTTTAGTCCGAGCCTGCCTCGCGTCGCAACTTCTTCATTTGACAAAACTGTCAGGGTTTGGGATGCTGATAATGTAAAGTGAAGGCTGATTGGTTTCACTATGTTGTTTTATCTTTACATGAAATATGTTGGTTCATTCAGGTGTTGTGATCTCTTAAGAGTTTGTGAATCTACTTTGCAGAAAGGTTACTCCCTACGTACTTTCATGGGACATTCTTCTATGGTTACGTCACTTGACTTCCATCCCAACAAGGATGATCTCATATGTTCCTGTGACAATGATGGCGAAATAAGGTACTGGAGCATCAACAATGGAAGTTGCACAAGAGTGTACAAGGTAGATTTTTTTGTCTTTTCAAAGCCGATAGTTCAACATTATTTAGTTGCCTTAGCTAGCAAATCGATACCTATTAATTTCACTTTTGTCTTTTCACAGGGTGGTAGCACTCAGATGAGGTTCCAACCACGTGTTGGAAAGTATCTCGCAGCTTCATCAGCAAATGTTGTATCTGTACTAGATGTCGAAACACAAGCTTGTAGACACTCTTTGCAGGTCTGGTGTTGAAACGTTTCTTAGTCGATATATGTACTACTAAGAGAGCAACTAAAAGACGAACGTTTACTGATTACTCTTTACAGGGCCATGCTAATTCGATAAACTCTGTTTGCTGGGATCCTTCTGGTGACTTCTTGGCATCGGTTAGTGAAGATATGGTAAAAGTGTGGACCCTCGGGACAGGTAGTGAAGGAGAATGTGTTCATGAGCTAAGCTGCAATGGCAACAAATTCCAGTCTTGTGTTTTCCATCCAACTTACCCTTCGCTGCTCGTAATTGGGTGTTACCAGGTAAAGTTCGACATCTTTATATAAATTTGTCATTTTGATCTAAAAATCCCAACTTTCCAATCTCCTTTGGTGCTGTGTTCCTAAAAAACTGTTATGTGGCGCAGTCTTTAGAACTATGGAACATGTCAGAGAACAAGACGATGACATTGCCGGCTCACGAAGGGCTAATTGCGTCATTGGCTGTTTCAACTGCAACTGGATTGGTTGCATCAGCCAGTCACGACAAGCTAGTGAAGCTGTGGAAGTGAAATCTTAATGAGAGAAAAAGAAGACAAGTCTGTTGTGTTTTAGGTATTATTATTATTCTCGGGGAGGGGTTTTTAACTTGTGTTCTTCGTAGTACTTTCTCGGCCAATGATCTTCGATCTCAATTTAGTTTTCTTGAGATGTTGAACAATGTTGTTGTATGATCATTCTGACGTAATTGCGATCTTGTGGAATTGTGAAATACTCTTCTTGTAATCTTAGTGGCTCAGCTTAATTTAATTATTCACTATTCACTCTTCAATCCGGTCTGGTTTGGTTTCGTATAAGCTTGGTTTGGTTTGCTAGAGTATGAGTTGAATATTAATTTGTACTAAATTTTTACGCATCCGCATATGAATTTTGTGTTTTTACTAATCACATTTTGTAATATTACAAAATAGTTTATATTAATTTATAGATATAAATTTTTTTATCATTTAATTGAATAGATATGCTAATGGGCTAATGGGCTTTTCAAATGCAGCATTAGCAATGCCAAAATATATAATTTTTTCTTGTTAGACTGAAAAAACGAAAAACTGAAAAAGTAAAATAAAAAGTAAACGCAAACGCAAACGTGAAAGTTATAAACGCCACCTATGAAGCAATCTTCTCCGTTCTTATGAATCGCTGATGTAAGAGTCTCCGGCAGGGACTGGCGTTAAAAAGCTGCGTGAAGATCGACGGATTTTAGAGGATACTTTTCTCCCTCTCTAACGAATTCATTCGGAGATCAACGGTGATTGGATTGATGGGGAAAGAAGAAGATAGCAGTGAAGAGGTTAGCAGGAAATTTCCTGACGGATTTGTCTGTTTGGAAATGTTCAATACTCTAAATCGATCTATTAGATAGATAATACAAATGCTTATATACTCTGAAACCACAGGTTTGTCTTTCTGGGAAGGAGAAATGTAGTTCAGGGCAGCCTGAGGAAATGTTGGCAAATCTGAAGGTGTCCATAAGAGAATTGAGTGTGACAGTGAACGAACAGGTATTTTTCTGTATTTTACACTGGTGTTCTTGATCAAACACTGATAGCTTTTACTTTAAAATTTATTAGAATCAGAGGAAATGTGATGTAAAGGATAAGCTGCAGCAGTTGCGAGAAAGAATAGTAGCTGAAGGTGTTGGTGTTTCACTCCAGGAGTTGATTCCTCTTTTGAAATCACTCAAGGTAATAAGTAGGTGTTGTAGGTTTCCAGAAGTTCATGTCTTTATTACTATATTATGAGTGCGACTATGTGGTGGTAGAACTCAGTTAGTTGTCGGTTTTTCCAGGAACTAGAAAAACAGGAATCTGAAGTCCGGTCTAATTGCAATGCTAAGCGTTCTGCTTTAGAAGATGCAGTTTGTGATTTGGAGGAGAGAGTCGCAAAGGGGTCTGATGGTGAGATTCCTGAGGAAGATTTAGATGTTTTGTTGGTTGATTCTCTCGATCATCTGACTTCAGCAAAGAAGGTTCTCTCTCTATGCTATCTACAGTCTCTATGCATCTTGACATTACCTCCGTTTTATTTATTGGTTTGGAGTAACATGGAGTTGAGATTAAAGTTTTTCCCATGTTTTCCAAAGAAGGTTATGGTTGCTTTCATGTCGTTTCACTGTAGGAGCTTGCAGCAACGCTAAGAGAAATAGTGTCTCTGAAGCGGCAGATTGATGATGTGCCATGCCAATCTGAACTCCTCCAGTATGCCTTCTTTCCTCCACTTCTTGTTAACTTCAAAGACGATGCCCTGGATGTGGCACTTCGAATTAGTGTGTACCATTTCGTGCTGAAACTCTTCCATCTCAACAATGAATCAGATTTCACCCCACTCCCTCTGTTTTGATTAGCATTTATCTTTAATTATGTTGTAAATATCATGTCAGGAGTCAGATTGCTTTGCCTCTAGCTTTTAGGAATCATCATGTTTTACTATGGCTAATTTCACATTTGCTGTATTTGTTGCACACTGAAGTCCAGTATTACATTCCGTGCAGATATGAAAGAAGATTCTCAGAGCTGAATGGCTGTATTCAGGTTCGAATGGTCAAAACTAATATTTGCCTCGTTGCTGTGCAGACTTATTTCATGGTTGAAATTGAACATACTAGCTTATTGATTGACGAACATTTATGTCCAATTTCTGACCATAAACAGGAGAAACTTCAACAAACGAGGAAGCTCTATGGAACATACAATGCTCTTTTAGAAATAAAAGATTTGATGCTAAAGGAGACATCATTATTGAATTCAATAGGTTCACAGGTAAATACTTGAAGTATTGTTTAGTTGATTTTTGTGTCTAGCATTATCTCCTTTTTACTGCTCTCTACACTATACATATAGATATCATGCACATCACATTATCTCCTTTGTACTGCTCTCTACACCATGCTTCTTCGGGTTAACACATGACTTGAATGTAGTTTCAAGACGTAATTGGTACTTCTGCTGGCCGTGTGAAGCTAATTGATTCAATGGAAGGAGTCATGAATGGAATTCAACAGGTAATCTGAGTTGTATTCATTTAGGTTTCTGAGGCACAAAGCATGAATCTAGTACCAACTTGCATCATTTTAGCTGTATGAGCTGTCGTAACAAAATCTTTGAAGTGCAGAAGTTAGGAAAGGTACAACATGGGCTTCAAGAAGAGCAGAAATTCTGTGATACTTCAAAAGAAAAGTATACTGCTGCAGCTGCAGAGCAAAGAAAATGCAATAATGTACTACGAACCTTCGAGGTTAGCACAAAAGAGGAAATAAGTGATACTGATAAGTGTTTCGACTCCTGATAGTCAGTGTCCACTACTTATATAGTGCTAAATCTTTCAACTGCAGGAGGAATGTACCAAGAATGACAGTCTGAGGAGTCAAATATCTGCTGTAAATACCTCCGACTCGAAAGAACGGATTGAATAAGGTAATGTAAAGCTATCCTTTCTTAGTTACAGCTAGCCAGAGTAGAGCCAGAGTTTATTTAGACACGATTCTCTTATGATATGCTCAGATTTACACATAAGAGGATAGGAAAATCTTATAGGCATAGAACAGCAAGTTTGGTTGACCAATTGGTTATATATTAGCTATGGGAAAATATTACACTCTAATAATTGAGAACGAGAAGTTTGAATACAAACCTAGAAAGGCACAGAACAATGCAAATGGCTATTAAGTCGAACAAATAACAACCTAGAAGAAAAGCCACACTCATCATCTCTCATATTCAGACTTAATCATGTGGCTTCTTTTCAGGATCTGATACGTGAATCGGATCTCTGGTATCGCGTCCCCTTATGATTATACTTCCTTGATGTTCTTTACCTGCAAATCATATTTCCGTTAAAAGATTCAAAGCTGACGAAACCCAAGAACAGTTGACAACTCTTAATTTCGTTTACTCATTTTGTTAAGTAACAATGCAAAATAAGTCTTGTTTACTCTACTCCACAGTTTATTTGTAAGAAGGTGGCCAAACTTTCTCTGCTGAAATATGATTTTCTCTAAACAAGTAGTCACCTGGTTGTGTAAAGATCCTGTGACAGGCACCGGAGGTGGCTTGATGACCCGGCCTTGCACGAAACTCCGGGGCCAAAAACGGTGTTTCTTTAGAGCTGCCTCCTTCATACATTTGGCCTAGTTTGTATGGTCCGTCGCTTGTGTTGTTCTTTGTCTTCGGTTTATGAGACAAAGCCGTAGACCATGAGCCCCCGCTTGATCCTGCTAAAGCCATTATCACATCCGCCTGCAAAAAAAATAATAACGTTCATATGATGAACTTACAAATTTCTCTACTTTTCTGTCAAATAACTTGAATATCGAAGTGTTAAGTGACAGAGAGAAGATTACCTTGTTTGGGTGAACATCATCAAAGACATGAGCTTGACCACCGTAGAAGATAGTCATTTGCTTAGTACTCGACGACAAGTCTTTCCCATTCCCGGTACTGCATATACAACAAACAGAGTGTATTGAAATTACATGATGACAAAGCATGAAAAGACTAAAGACATAGCACTAAAAAGCTAATTCACCTTGAAGGAGCAAAACATTCGAGCTTGCTTGGGTTTGGCATTGTAAAAGAACTCAAGATACCACCAGGACCTTTCATCCCTGTTCGTGAACCTTCATCTGCAGCTGTCTGAGCGATTCCTGATGGTCCCACGTTTTCGTCCTTGAACCTGCTTGAAGACAAGTGATGAAGCAAATGACTGATCTGTCCTCCTCCGCGTTGAGGCTGGTTTGCCAATGGTTTCACATTCATGGAGAGGCTTCCAGGTCCGTTTCTCAGCAACTAGTTATTGGCAATGTCAGATTACAGAATTGAGGTCTATGAAGCTGTGAACATGGTGAAAATTATGTAGGTTGTGGTTTATCTTATACCTTGGACCAGTGCAGAGTCTCTGGGTGCTCTTGAGTCGTGAACTGTGAATCCGAGTTACTTCTCTTGTTTCCTGAAAATCGATTACTCATGATTGAGCCAGAAACCTCACTTCTTGGTCCAAACATTTGTATCCCATCAAGATGATTCCCGTCGCCGCCGTATCTTTCAACTAATCAAAAGAGAGAGATAAAATCTGGATAAGCAACATCACATGTGGAGAGAGATAAAGAGAGAAAAAGATGTAATGAAGAAGACCAATTCATCAGTGTCTCAAATGTCTATGACCCACCAAACTCATCAGTCAAATTCAATCCCACTGTCCCAACTAATCCACCAGAGACATTATGGTTGGACAGAGAGAGAGAGTGACCTTCGCTACTAGAACTCAATTAACCACATGCTCACACAACATCAATGTTCATGTTTATAAAATTTTCAAACGAAAAGTGAGGCAAGAAAAGAAACATGACAATGGACACGCACATCTTGCTCAACTTCAATCCAAAGATGTTCCGTTTTCTACTTGGGAGATCTAATCAGGAAATGAATTGACTAAAGTTTCCAGCTTTAGAAACTCGCATGATCTCCACACTTTCAAATCATAGTGAATCAAAGCTCGATTATTAAATTCAGACCAGGAAAATCAAAGAATCAAACTCCAAATCGAATCTATGTAACAAGTTTTGAACTTTCCGTATATAGAAACCCTAAATGTACAGAGGAAACATCATAAACCACATCAGTAGAAGCACACACACTTCAACAAAAAGCATCAAGAGAGAGAGAGAGAGAAGAACCGAGATCGGAGGTTGAGGAGAGACCGCCGCGTCCACCGGCGGAGGAAGCGGAAGTCATCGCCGGTTTAGCCGCCTTATCTAGTGGTATCCTATGGTCGGCCATGGAGGTAGATGGTAAAGTTGCAGCCTTGGAGCCTAGAAAGTCGTGGAACAAGAGTTTATCTTGCTCTTTCTGCCGGAGACGAGAATCAACATCAGTGGAGCGCTCGCCATTGTTGTGGTTCACCATCATAAACCAGTGTGTCAGTGTGGCCACTTCGCCACCACTTCCTCCATTACAGTTTCTCTCTGTATTATTTCATGGACACACTCAACGAGGCAGAGAGAGAGATATGAGAGTGTATTTTTCTGGGTAAGTGTGAAATAAAAGGCTAAAAAGGGCTGTCTTTTTGTTCTTGAAGCTCCTTTATTGGGTTTCCCTTGCATGATAGTATATAATAATGAATCAGATATTTTGCAAACATTAAAAATTTACCTAATAAACATAAGTAAGATTGTGTAATCATGGAGTTATAGACTTCACTTCTTTTGTTATTAAGGTATCATAGTTTCATAATTTTCAAAGTTAAAACTGTTAAAGTCACATACTTTATTGATTTGGAGAAAGTGCGGTGTGTGTATTGATCTAATCTAACCAACACACTACTAACCTATCCGCAAACGAACAAAACAAAATTAGGTTCGTAGTTCAGTTGGTAAAGTTGTTATTTATAATAAGTTTTGCTGTACTAGTCTATTACATTACATATATTCTCGTACATTTCACTTGTCTTTATAACAAGCTTTTTAAATACAGTAAGTTAAGTAAGAAAACCTACAAGGCTACAACATAATTTCGCTTAGACTAAGATATCCGAACACTACATTTTTTTTCTTCCTTAAAAGTCTAATATATAGTGGAAATGGTATGGAAGAAGAAGCTATGGGTCTATGCGTTCTAGGCTCATTTGACTGCCTAGATTCTTGTAAGTGATCTTATTAGGAAATTCGATATTATATGTTTGGCTTTTGAGATTGGAGTTGTTGATATTTGGGTTTAAGTGTTTGATTTCATACTCTAGTATGAGTAGGAGAGACATTAACCTATTTCTGATGAAATCGATTTTACAACCACTCATCATGACGAATCCCACACTTCATGATTCGCCTCTGATCCTTTCTAATCTCTGCAGATTTCTTGAAACCAAAAAATAAAAACAAATAGATGAATATATTAATGGAAACTATATGATCGACGGTAGGACGACGATCAAAAAGGGAGTTTAAAGTTAAGTGGATTTTGAGTAATAATAAAAACTCGTTTAAAAGATAATCCTCGGTTCAATATATTTAAGATTGTTTATCGAAAGCATCAAATTAGTAGCCGGTTTTTTATTGGGTTGATAGAAGTATAATTGTCTTCTGTATGGGAAACACGTGTTTGCTTTCTTGTTCCATTTAATTAAAAGGATAGACTTAGGATTTTGGTTTATGTCATTATGTGGTTTATTTATTAACTCAAACATAGTCACAAAACAGTAACACACACACACACACTGAGACCAAGACTAATTAAAATACTGTGGATGCCCAATGTTGATTAAGTGACTATAAGGTGGCAAACAAGTATATGTGATTATTAGCAAATTTGGTCATCTCTTTGTCTTTGACTTGTTCTGCTTTCTTGTTTCCCACTTTATTTCTTCACATCTCTCTCACACAAAATCTAAATTCGATTTTCAGGATTATTATTATTATTTTTTTAAATATCAGGGCCAAGAACAATGCATATGAGATGCTCCCCTCGTACATGAATCATCAGATGTAGATGAATCTGTGTTTTATATATTTTGTTTTTCATACTTTTTGGGTTTAATGAAAATAATCCAAAACTCGAAGATGTTTAATGGGCTATTGTTAATTAATGGGTTATTGTTAATGGGTTTAACAACAGATAAAAGCCTCACAAAATGTAGAAGATGAAGTCCACATAATTCGCGCTTTGCAGTTTTATCTCTACTCCTCCCTAGTTTCAGGAATCTTCTCCATACGAACAAAATTCGTCGCCGGAGATCGGAAGCTAAAACAGGAAGAAATGGCGTCGCTCGGTTTCAACCTCGGCTTCTACTTCTCCGATGTAAAAAATCAGCGGCATCGAATAGTTTCCGGAAGTGGGAGGGCTCGCGTTTTCTCGTGTAGCTCTTCTTCTCAAGCCTCTCCGCCGGGGATCTCTGCCGCGACGCCTCCTGAGATAGAGCTCGAGTTCTTCGGTGTAACTATCGGTGCGATTTTCGCGTTGAGTTATGATACAATTCGTTTCAAAACTCAAAAGGGCTTTTTTTTTGTTTTTTTTTGTTTTGGTGGTTGTGTGTGTATTGCAGCCGAAGCCTGGGAGCGATGGGTCGTATCCGGCGGATAAAGCGAAAGCTGTGAGCGGCGAGAAGCTTCTGAGAAACATTATGCAGGAGAACAAAATCGAGCTGTACGCTACTTACGTGAGTTTTTTCTCTATCGAGTATAAATTTTGCGAAATTGAGCTAGGAATCTGCTCTAACTTTCAATCTAATTTCATTGAGGTTTTGATTTGATTATATGAAATGGGATGAGCTAATTTCTGTCACCGAATCGAATACTCTGCATATTCATGCACTGTGTCTTAGGAGAGAGTGTTGTTAGTTAAAGGCTGAGGTAAGATTTGTAATTTGCTGATTTTGTGATATGTTTAGGGCAAAGTGATGAACTGTGGAGGTGGGGGAAGCTGTGGAACATGCATTGTGGAGGCAAGTGACTTCATATCCTTTAACCTTGATATCATGTTCGGCCATCCAAGACATCTCTGATGCTTTAGATTTCAGTTATCTGTTTCTCTTTTTGGCTCTATGATGTTTTCTCTGCTGCTGCAGATTTGAAGATTTTAATGATGTAGAGAAATGAATCGTTCCATCTTCGAGTTTTTGTTTGGTCTGTTATGATGAGCAATGTTCAAGCAAAAAAAGCTTATTTGGTCTTCCGTGTGTGTGCAGATACTAGACGGCAGAGATCTTCTGAACGAGAGAACTGATACAGAAAACCGGTATCTGAAAAAGGTTAGTTATTTTATCACTCCTCCAACATCTTAGATATATGCAAATTCAGGAACCTGGGCGCTGTTTAAATCTGAAGGGCCTTGTTGGTATTGTGCAGAAGCCGGAATCTTGGAGACTCGCATGTCAAACAATAGTAGGGAACAAAGAAAACTCAGGAAAGGTACCTACTTTAAGAAGGCCCTAGATTGTTTCCATGTGTTTTCACATTTATTTAAAAAAAAAAGCCTTTCTCGGTATTCTGGATTCATATTTATCAAAGTTGTTGGGATCAAAAGAGTTTTCGCAAATCTTTTTATGATGTTTCTCATTGACATGTATCGCATTGGTCTTAGGTTGTCGTTCAGCGGATTCCGCAGTGGAAGAAGTGAATCCTATGTAAGGCTCTATTCGTTCAGCTCGTATTTTTTTAAAAAAGAGCTGCCCCCAAAAGCCATATATATTATTAGTTTTCTGTTTGTATATCTTCCTAAAAACCTCGACTCAACTATGTATAAAGTTATAAACTGGAAAAGCTTTTGAATGAACCAGTTTGAGATTATCATATCACGACCTTCAGGTAAATGACAGAGTATATCGATCATCATCAAATGGCATTAACTCATTTCCTCCACTAGCAGAGTTTATAAGCAAAAATGACGATGTGAGAACTCTTTCAATAACATGAGAATAGATAAGAATGCCAGACCGTAGATTAATAAAGACCAATTAATGCGTAACTGAATCTAGAAATTAGCATATAAGACATCCCGGAAAAGCTCAGAAAAAGTATAAAAGTATGGCCATTCTATTACATTCCCCGGCTTATCTTTTACCACCAGAAGCATTTATATGTCATAGTCATAATTCAATAAGCTGAATATGAATTAGCCAATAGTATCTAGCTAACTCCATCCAACTAGAAACGAACGTGGACATCATTATTATTATTTTTTTTGTCGTCAACAATTCGTACATGACTATCGAATTTTCTTTAAGTTATGAAAACCACAGATACGAATTTTTTACAAATCTTGGTTGGTTTTAAGAGTTTGGGTGGTTTAAAATATCGATTTTAGTTGAAAGAGAAGAAGAAGATTGGCATCATGCCAAATTGGGAAGATATATACACATTATATCATCTTAAAACTCTTAATGGATAAGTCCACCCCAAAAAATGTTATCACAAAAAAAAAAAAGACCTTCTATACGAGTTCGAATATTAGAGTGATCGAGAGAAAACCAATTTTCTAGCCCGGAAATAACGAAAAGGCCTTATCACAGCTCACTACGCGCCGTACCGAAAAACAGGGATGAAGTCAAAACGCAATCTTTTCTCATTTATTACTTTTTACATTTTCTTGTTGAGATAGAATATAGAATAGGCCAAAGAAAGCATCATCTCTATCTGAATCATCATCAATTCATCATCATCATTCTGTAATTATATACTATTATATTTGGATATTTTTTTCCCTTTTTTGTTTTTGTTTTGTGTGATTGCTGTTTGGCTCCGAATTTTATATCCAGAAAAATATTTTATTTCTTTTTGTTTATCTCCTTGGTTGATAGCTGAGCGCACAGAAAAAAAAAAATCCTTAAAAAATCGGAAAAGAGAAGAATTGAAGAACTACTACGATCAAACAACGGAGGATTTCGATAGCTGAAAAAAGTTGACTCTTCTTAATTAGATTCCTTGTCTTGGTTTCGGGGCTTTCTCTTCTCGCGGCCTCTCCAGTTTTACCTTGAGACCACGAGGAAATAGGCAAAATTATCACCCAATTGAAGGAGGTTTGTTCTCTAATTGCTATTATATTTTTCTTCGTCTGCTATCATTTCCAGGTGCGAATTTGGTATTTTTATACCCGTCCATGTCGAGTTTTACCGATTTCGTAATTAGCAAAAATCTTAGGTTTTGCAATCTTCGATCTTGCTTTTGAGTTTTTTCTTGCCCTAAATTTTTTAGGATAAAATCCAGGAAAAAAACTGTGTGAGTTTCTTTTGATTTATTATAATTGAGCGCGCTGCGTTTATGGTTATGTGAATCGATCGGTTTTGATGAGCCCAACACCAGAAGCCGACATGAATTGATGATTTTTCGTGGTTGGTTTTAGGTGATTTAGGGTTTAAGTCTTACTCCTCTCTCAATTTCATGAAAAATCGATTTTTTTTTTGTCTTCTTTATGATTTTGCAGGACATCGATTGAAGTTCCATGGTGCGGTATGCACAAAAGTGGACTAAACCTAGATGGGTGTTTCTCTTCTGAAGCAACATCATCGTATTACAAATCAAGCAGATACTTTTAGATACATGGAACGATCATCAGATAGCCGAAATGAGCACATCATTGACATTCCAAGAAATGCCGCCATTGCATCCTCGTCTCATGATAGAATCTCAAACGTTTCAGAACCTTTACAACATGAGGAGGAGAGACCTTCAACTGCTCCACCGGTTCCTGTTTCTCAACCAGCTACAGTTTCTTCTTCTATGCGGTCAAACACTAGAAGCGTCCGTCGCAGAAGAAGTCCTTTGAATTCTGGCTTATGGATTTCCATTGAACTAGTCCTCACTGTTGGTCAGATCATCGCAGCCATTGTCGTTTTGTCTTTGTCGAAACATGAGCATCCTCGTGCACCGTTGTTCGCTTGGATCGTGGGTTATGCGTGTGGTTGTGTTGCCACACTCCCGCTTTTGTACTGGAGATATTATCATTCGAATCAGGCTTCTGAACAGGATTCTGGCCAGCATCGTCCTAATCTTAATGTTGCAGCAGGACCATTTGCATTCTCGATATCCAGGACATCTGAAGGAGATGGTCGACAGACCAACACCACCTCTTCTCGTAGTAGATATCATGGCTTCATAAGTGCTGCCAGGTAAAAATCTTAATGCTTCCATGTTCTTAGATGATCTGTTTCATCTGAAAATTTGGATTTTGAATGACCATAACTGATTTGAGTCTTTGATTTTTTGGCTTTCAGACTTAAAGTTATTGTGGAATACTTCAAAATGGCTCTGGATTGCTTCTTTGCGGTGTGGTTTGTGGTAGGTAATGTATGGATATTTGGAGGGCATTCATCTGCATCCGAGGCTCCTAACTTGTACAGGTATGGTTTCTTTTCGTTATTCCAAAATTTACACGCGAACCTCTGGCTGCAATTGTCAAAGACTGAACCCGTTTGTTCTTTTTTTTATATGTTATAGGTTATGTTTAGTGTTTCTTACCTTTAGCTGTATTGGCTACGCGATGCCCTTCATCCTCTGCACAACAATATGTTGCTGCTTGCCGTGCATAATCTCAATCCTCGGATACAGAGAAGATTTAACTCAACCCCGAGGTGCAACACCTGAGTCGATAAATGCATTGCCGACTCATAAGTTTAAGTTGAAGAAAAGCAGAAGTAGTGGCGATGGCAATGGTTCAAGTAATAGCGAAGGTGGAGTTGTGGCTGCTGGAACAGATAACGAGCGTGCGATATCAGGAGAAGACGCTGTGAGTTTGCTTACACTCTTGACTGTACATGCAGACACACACACACACAGAGATAGACTATCAAGTATCTGAACATTTACAATGTTTGCAGGTCTGTTGCATTTGCTTAGCGAAGTATGCAAATAACGAAGAGTTGAGAGAGCTTCCATGCTCACATTTCTTCCACAAAGAGTGCGTTGACAAATGGCTCAAGATCAATGCTAGTTGCCCACTTTGCAAGAGTGAAGTTGGGGAGAAGAACTCTGATTTGACAAGCCAGGGGATCTTAACCTCTCTCTCTTCTGTGGAAAACGATAATCAGCAACCACAACAGCACCGCAACGAACTTAGAGTTGAAAACAACGTTGTCTAGATGAGGGGCGACCCGCCCAACGCTCACAACTTTTTTTTTTTTTTCGTTTTTTTATGTTTTCAAATTTTTGTTAAAAAAGCCCATGATCTTTTTTTTTTTTCTTTTTTACAGTAAGCCCTTGATCTATTTTCTCTATAGATCTCTCTATCTGTATCTATGTGATTAACAAAAAGGCTCATAATCCAAAGTTATTTTGCGTTCTAAAATATCATATATCTACGGTTTTTACACATCGTCAAAAAGCATTAAGACAGTGACTTTGTTGGTAACGTAAATTAGAACCGGAAATATGGTACAAGACCCTTTTAAAAATCTCAGGCTAAGTATAATAAGGTGTCATCGCGTTGCCTTTCGAAAGAGAGCTCACACAGTCAATAAAAGTGGTATTTTCTTAACTTCTCGCATCACAGGTTGATGCATATGTTTCTGAAAGAAGCAAAAGTGATTCATTTCCTAAGACATTTTGAGCTGTATCATTTAAGAGCGGTACAGAGAAAGGCTACCAAGAGACTGAAAAGATATGTAGTTTCCGATTGAGCCCTAGGCGTTTTCTGCAGATGGGTTTTCATGAACAAAGGTGCCAACTGATTTGAACCATCGCAGCAAGTTACGGTGATCCTTTACATAAAGCCATGCCTGAAGAAAAGGGAAGAGACTCTCGTTCACACCCCGTTCCTCTAGGAAGCCATGGAATACATCTCTCATCTTCTCATCGAGCTCTCTGTCAAAACATATTCCGACACTTATTTGTCAGTAAGAAAAACCTTTTCTATCAATTATGGGTCAATGTTGTATCCAGGTGGAAACATACAGAATGCTGAGTTGCATGCACAAAAGTCTTTGTTTAAAATTGAGAAAATGCATTGAAAGATGAAATATTAAGAACAGGACAAAGACTAATCCTTGATTTGGAGGCTTCATGATACAACAAACTAATTGTTTGTAAATATTGAGATTTCACTGCAAATATGCCACAGGAGAAAAAGCAGTAACTGCAATTGCACAGTTGAAATACCTACTTCTGTTTAATCTATAACACATCTACCACCATTCTAAATCACATTCCTTAACCTCAACCAAAATTGTCGAAATCAGCCAGCCAATGTCAAGAATATCTCATTTCAGAAATGACGATGAACATACTTGGCCTATTCACAACCACCTATTCTTACTTTGAAAATACTGAGTGACTCGATTCAGCGACTCGATTCAGCGTAAATACCATTCTACTACTAGTCACAATCTCTAGTCTCATAAATTGAATTACAAGAAACTTAAACAAATGTTGAAAGGTAAAAGACTGAGAGATTATAATGAGAAAATGTAAGAGAGAAGTTTGTAGAGAAGAACTTACTCAAAAGAAGGGCCAGTGTATCGACTAGAATCATCAGACATCTCCAAAGCCTCGAGTTTTGGCCTCATGGAAACAGAGTGAATACCCAATGCATCTGGGTAAAGTCCGCAAAGGAAATGCAGAGAATCAGCCTGATTTTGCTTCGACACAGCAACATGGAGGAACAACTGGTTGATCCCATCATCGTCTTCTTCATCACCTCCGTGAGCCAACCGCATCACGAAAAGACTGATTTCTTCATTTCCAACAGATTTCTTCAAAACAGCCCCAGTTCCCTCAAGCGACCCTTTCACAATCTCAAATGGCGAAGGAGGACTCACTTTCTGCAAATCAAAACCTCGCTTTCTAATCACACATCCTTAGCGAACAAAGCAGCAACTAGGGTTTAAGTGACAAAACTGGAATTTCATCTACACCTAAGAAAACGAGGAAGAGACAAATATAGAGGGAAGATGAACGAACCGGAGGAGGGGTCATCTTGGAGACTTCTAGGTAATGCTCCTTGAGGGAACGCAGAAGCATCGAATCGACGGCAGCCGAAACGTCGCCGGTCTTTCCACTTCCACCGGCTTTACTGGATAGCGCTCGCTGAAACTGACGCCCGACGGCGACATTACCGATCACTCTTCTCCACATTTCTACTTGTCCGTCTCAAACTACGCGGCGTTGGAGTAAATGATATATACGTCGATAAACCAAAAATTTTCGCTAAACCTGATACACTAAAGCCCACAAACAAAAATTAGGCCCAAACCAAATATGTTTGAAGGCTTTGCAGTTTTTTAAATAGTTTTTGGATTTTGGATATATGGTTTTTAATATTTAGATTTTTTTGGATAATAATACCTTATGTGCAAGAGGATAATGCTTTGTAATTTCAAATTTGGTTAATGCAAAATTTGTTGTTGAGGCCAAAATATATAATTATAGAGTAAAAAGAAAATTTTAACTAGGGTCATAGTAAAAAAATCCAATAACATTACAAAGAAAATTCAGTTTTATGGGGTGTGTCCTATGAACCACTATATCTCTTAGTGGTTTCATATCAAAACGGGTGGGTGATTGGTTTCACCTCACTGGCTGCTGATTGTAGTGATTCTTCTCTTTCTTCTTTTTCGCGGCGGCCAGCTTGGCCCGCCTCGTAGCTGCTTCTTGCGCAACAACTTTGGCAGCAGCATCCATCTCTTTGCTTGATTTCTTCTTCTTCATCGATGCAATCTTCTTTAGGCGTTCTTTGACATCCATGGAAGAAGAAGCTTCCTCCTGCTCAGCGGACTCACCTGCAGCATCTGAGTTGCTCTTTACCTCATCCTGAGATTCTTTCACCTCCTTCTGTTTATCCTTCTTTTTCTTCTTCTTTGAGGCCTTGGATTCTCCGGTTGTGTTCTCCTTCTTCTCTCCCTCTCCATTGACTTGTTTCTTTTCCTGCTTATCTGTCGGGTATTTGCAAACGAAATTTTTGTCAGTATTAGCACACTTGATTTTCACAGCAAGTGTAAGAGCTATCCACAGAGGAACGATACCATCAAGTGAATAACTGTAGAATAGTATACCTTGAGAGTTCTCTTGACCATTATTATCCTTGGGTGCAACGCCAAAATCTGCTAACAAAGCCTCAAGTTCAGCAAGTTCCTTCTGCTTCCTCTCTTTCTTGGAAAGCTGCCTCTCTGCCTCCTTGGGTGGTGCAGGTATTTCAGGAGCCTTTTTCACCTCAGACTCTGCTTCTGCACTTACTTGTGTCTCTGTTTCCTGTTCATGCTCGTCCTCCAAATCATCATCATCGCCTTCATCAAGAATATCTTCTTCACTTTCACTTTCCTGCGACATTGAAAGCCAACGCATCTCGATTAGAAACCAGGATAGGCACACGACCACGATTTACAGACAACCAGGGCACAAACTTATAGTGCGTAGAGAAAATTCAAAGGTTTTACATTTAGATAGATGATGACCTTCAGAATACAAAACAGCCTACTCCAAAGCAACATTCATTTTTCTTTGTGACAATACAAGAAATAAGTGATATATTTATCATCTATCCGCCAAGTACAAATGCTATGAGGAAAATCAACAGCAAAATAAAAAGCCAAATTTCAAGCATGTGAGATTTAACGAGGCTTATTGCAAAAAAAGAAAAAAAAAACTTATCAAACTAGATTAACACAAGGAAAACGCCAGATTGAAAATACACACAACGAAGCATATGAAAGAATTTCGAGTTCAAACCTCAATCTCTTTTGCTTCAGAAGTAGTCCAGACAGCAGGAGGCGGAGCAGTGGTTGCGTAGTAGTCATCATCTTCGTCGTCGCTGTCGATATCCGCCCAAGCCTTTGCTTTGAGAGGCGTAGGTGCCCAGAAGACCTGTGGCTCAGGCTCCTTTTTCGGATCTTGCCCAGATGACGACTTTGAGGAACCTTTGGTCTTATCTGACTTCTTCTTCTTCCTTGTATCCAGAGCGGCAAACAAGTTGGTGTTCTGAATCGGCATCGATCCTTCGTCTCTCCTGTTTCCACCACCAACCATCTTTTCTTCACTCTCAATCAAACAACCCCGATTCAGATAACAGGAGCTAAAAAACCAATTTTTTTTAATAAAACCCAGAAAACGAAATTCCCCAATTTCAGCTGGAACTCTCCAAGATTGGAACGAAAACGACCCTGAAGCAATGGAAGATGAATCGAGCTAAGTAAAAGCAATGAAGGAAGGATAAGAAAACAAAATCGACAATCGTCGTCTAATTTCTACAAGTGATAAAAAACAAAAAAACTGATCTTTATATAAGCAAATTCCTTGAAACGCTACCAATTACAGGAAGAACACGGTATTTAGCTCTGATGGACGGCGATTCTGGAAAGCGATGGATAAATTAGGGCTCCAGACCAGACACGACAATAATATACTGGTGACTAAAGAAGTGTTAGATAGGAAAAAATTGAATTTGAGGGAGAAGGAGCAAATATGAAGCTTCGTGAAGGACGCAAATTTCTTTATCGAATGCGAGAGATAATTAGGGCTACTGGTGGTACACGACAAGGAGGGATCTGTATAACGTATTAAGAATGTTTTTATCTCCTATGGATCAAACCGAAAATTATATTAGACAATCAGACCGAATACAACCGGAATCTGGAATTGAAACATGTACACTTTTTGGTTATTATATAATTTATGAACACCATTTTTATTTCATCCTAACTATATAGTATTTATGCTATATAGTAGAAAAGATTTATGCTAAAAATAAAAATGATCCCATAGCTTAGCTAGCAATAATAGTTGTTAAGTTGAATGATGTCTCTAACCATTGTTGGGATGGTAGACACTGGATTACGGTAGGTTAACAACACACGTGAGAAGAAATTTATAAAATTATATAATTTTCTTCTCTCCGAGGAAAGCTTTTAAATCCTGACCGTCCAAAACTATTTTGCAGCTGGGTATCCGAAACGTCCATCGTATATTTTCTGTTGCAGAAATATTTATCGAGATCATTGGAAAATAAAATATGGACCGTACGATTCGTAACGCGTCGAGATCGGACGGTAGCCGTCATCCGATTTTTATTTGGAAAAATGTATTCTTTATGTGGTCTTTAACTGAAAAAACCTTACTCTCGCGAAACCAGACGAAACCCTAGCTCTCCCGTTTCTCACGGTTAAAAAAGAAAAAGAACCCAGCAAATTTGCTTTTTTATTTTCCGCTAAATTGAACGAATAATTTGGGAATTTTTGATTGTTTGATTTGGGATCCGATTCGCAGTCCGATTTACCGAAACCCTAAATTTGATTTATTTTTCCTTTGGGATTGTGGCGACTATAAAGGTCATTAGGAGTCGATATCGTCAGATAAAGCGATGCAGGTAGGCATGCAAAAATTTCTCTTTTTTTCTTCTTTGCAGTTAGGTTTTGATTGATTGTGGAAAAATTGCATGGATTTTGTATGCAGAAGTTTTTCCTGGAGTGGGATTTGATCGGTTTTTTTTGTTTGTTTAGCAACTTTTTTTTTTAATCTATTTTGGGTACTTTTTTTTTGATTCCGGGTTTCGTCTTGATGTTACAGATCTGAAAATGTGTCTATGCGTATGTGATGGAATTTGAGACCTGGGGGCTTTTGATTCTGGGTTTTCGTTCGAGGTGTCTTTCATGGAAAATAGACTAGGGAACTCTAATGGAGTGGGAATTTCGAAGAAATCAAGGTCGTTGGATCTTAAGACGCTGTATAAGTCTAGCATTTCCAAGGATTCAGTGAATAAGAGTTTTAAAAGGAAAAATAGGCCTGGGAATGATGACGATCGGTTGAAGCAGGACAAGAAGACCAGAAAAGTTGTTTCTTTAAGTAGCTTTAAGAAAGTCGATAGCGAAAACGAGAAAATTCTTGATAAGGCATGCAATGGCACCACAATATTGGACAACTTGGAAGACTCCAATGTGGGGTTGGATGAGAAATTGTGTGACAGTAGTGGACTTCAAGGGATTTCAGTTGGTTTGGCAGGTAGTATGATTTATGTTCCTAGGCGAAGGAGAGATTTTGTTGGGAGGAGTAGGTTCGAGAATGGCCTAGTGCAGAAGTCTGCAGGGGAATCTGATAGCCAGGAGGAGCTGCTTGATAAGCTCCCTAAGGAAACTGGTGAAGAATCTAGTGCTCAGGATCAGCTCACGAAAGCCGAAGAGAAGGACTCTGACAAAGAAATCAAAGAATCTAATTCAGCAGTTCAACTGCAGTTGGAAGACGGGCATTCTAATCAGTCTCCAGTGAAAGATGATCAGCTGGTTGTTAAACAAACGCACTCTAATAGGAGAAAAAGGAAGACCCCAGCATCAAATAGACGTGTGGGAAAAGAGGCCAAGTCTTCTGGTGATACACCTGGTAGAATATCCAAGGTATCACGAGAAGATGATGAGGAGAATCTTGAAGCTAATGCAGCAAGAATGCTATCTTCGCGGTTTGATCCTAACTGCACCCAGTTTCCTTCAAATCCTGTTACTCCTGGTTCACCATCTGCCAGTAGATTGCACCCATTATCTTCTGGTAAGAGTTCAGTTAACCCTCGGTCTGAGTTGTTTAGTTCAAAATGTGGCTCAGACGACACTGATGATAGAATGTTGCGACCAAGGAGAAAGCATGATGGGAAGGGTAAAGTTCGGAGAAGGCGCCACTTTTATGAAGTATTATTTTCAGATGTGGACTCACAGTGGTTGTTAAACAAAAAAATAAAAGTTTTCTGGCCTTTGGATCAGATTTGGTATCATGGTTTTGTGGATGGTTATGATGGAGACAAGAACCGGCACCATGTAAAGTATGATGATCGTGATGAAGAGTGGATCAACTTACAGGGTGAAAGATTCAAAATTCTGTTGTTCCCTACTGAAGTTCCTGGAAAAAATCAACGGAAAAGGCGCAGTTCAGGGTCCAAGTCTACTCTGAAAATAAGAGGGAATGATACATCCAGCAAAGACGAGGAGAAACAGAAGCTAGAAGATGATAGCTGCATGGGGGACATGGAATCAGAGCCAATCATCAAATGGTTGGCTCGGTCTATGCATAGGGACAAATCTTCCACCCTGAAGGCTGTGAAAAAACGAAAAAAATCCGAAATAGTGACATCTGGTGAAACTGTGAAAATGAATGGGGATGTTTTTAGAGACACTGTAGGACAGTACACAGATAGATCTGCTGGTTCTCTGCCATCTTGTGAATTACCTGGACCGAGTGGGAATGAGTACTTGTTGGAAAGCTCTGGTAAGGGTAGTATATATCCTATCGTCTATTATAGGAGACGACTTCATACAGCTAAAAAAGGAATCTACAAGGGGTCAGGTGACAGTAATGTTGAGCAGCTTCATGTATCAAAGAGTCCGGATCCTGATGTAGAATTTTTGCCTTTTGAAGATTCTGGGCTTCTGGAGCTTTATTGTCCGTGGAATGACACAGAGAAATTGGAGTTGTCCGTCAGCCTGCAGGCTGTTTCTTTGATGAACTACTTTCTTATGGCGGATGTTGACTGGCTTTCACGTATTGCTCTTTTGCTTCATCATGGTACACTTGTGAGTTTGTGGCCACGGGTTTGTTTGGAAATGATTTTCCTGAATAACCAAGATGGGCTAAGGTATCTAATTTTTGAAGGCTGCTTAATGGAAGTTGTTCAGTTGGTTTTCCGTATCTTGACGGTAGTAGATCATTCTAATAAACAAGGAGTACAAGGAGCGGGTACTGACTTGCAGTTGCCAGTTTTCTCAATTGGTCTCCAAGTTTCTTCCATCCCAGGTTTCCAAAGACAGTTTGCATTTCAAGTCTTCACTTTCCATGAAGTGAAACATTCAAAGTGGTCATACTTGGAACAGAATGTCAGGAGGCATTCTTTGCTGGTTAAGCAAGTATCAACTTCGGAGTGTACACCTGATAACATGAAGGTCCTGCAAAAGGTACAGTGATTCTTTAGTGAATGATTCTGGTACATTGCTTAGTTGGTTTCTAGTCTTACCAACGTTTTTTTGTTTTTTGTTTTTTTTAATTTGAACATCAGGTTATGCAGAAGAGATCTAGGCATGGAATCAGCTCACGCCTTGTTTCTAGAGGATCATCATCCATTAAAGTCTGGCCAACATCTACTTGCGACCAGAAGCAAAGTATGATACCATTTGCACTTCCTTTTGCTGCACGACCACCTACACTGTTATTTAATCTGCACCTGGAAATGGTGAGAGAACTGGGTCATGATTCAGCAGAATACCTGGGAACTGACAGCGATTTGGTAATAGATGGAGGTTGTGAAATGGGTCATATGGCAGATTGCACAAATAAACATTCTGAACCTTCTCTCAGGAGTAGGGGCCAAAATAATGGACCAACTATCACTTCAACCAGAGGAGAGGAAACGCAAGAGTCGAAAGATCTTCACACACCAACTCAAAGGCAGCAGCTGGGGTCTAGTTCTGAAAACTGTTTGTCGAGCAGTTCTTCTGTTGTCAGACATAGACAAGAAACCAGGTCTAACGTTTCGGGGAATGGCATTAGTATTGAAGTTCCAGTATCTGATCATTGTGAGGATGGTCCTCCGCAGTTAAGTAACCTGGCCTTGAATATTCAAGGTAGCACCTCAAGTCCCAAGGCCACTGCCCCAAGAAGTATGTGGAATCGAAGCAAAAGTTCTTTAATTGGCCATCTCTCAAATGGTTGGTCGGATTCAAAGGGAGACTTTCTGCACACTAATTTGGGAAACGGACCTAAGAAGCGACGTACCCAGGTGTCGTATTCATTGCCTTCTGGGGGTTCTGATTCTAGAAACAAAAGTTCCCTGCACAAGGGGCTTCCGAACAAAAGAATTAGAAGGTCTGCGGCTGATGTTTCCAGAGGTCTTCAGAAAGATTTGGAGTCTAGTTTCTGTGATGCCAATGTTTTAGTCACTCTTGGTGACAGAGGCTGGAGAGAATATGGAGCTCAGGTTTTCCTGGAACCTTTTGATAATAATGAATGGAAACTTGCGGTGAAACTCTCAGGGACAACAAAATACTCACACAGGGCACATCAGTTTCTGCAACCTGGGTCGACAAATAGGTTTACACATGCTATGATGTGGAAAGGTGGAAAAGATTGGACGTTAGAGTTCCCTGATAGGGGCCAATGGTCTCTTTTCAAAGAGATGCATGAAGAGTGTTACAACAGAAATACTCGGGCTGCTTTAGTTAGAAATATTCCTATTCCTGGCATCCGCATGATAGAAAAAGAAAATTTTGATGGAACAGAAACTGAATTCATCCGCAGTTCTTCTAAATATTTTCGGCAGACTGAAACTGATGTTGAGATGGCATTGGATCCTTCACGTGTTTTGTATGACATGGACAGCGATGATGAGCAGTGCCTTATGAGACTTCGTGAGTGTTCGGATGCTGAGAATAGTGGCTCTTGTGAGATCACTGAGGACATGTTTGAGAAGGCAATGGACATGTTTGAGAAGGCTTCATATGTAAAGCAGCGTGATAACTTTACCTTAATTGAAATTCAAGAACTGATTGCCGGAGTTGGATCCTTGGAAGCAATGGAAACAATTTATGAGCTTTGGAAAACAAAGAGGCAGAGGAAGGGAATGCCGTTAATCAGGCATCTTCAGGTACGATCTCTGATGCCTTTCCATCTTTTTTATTTTATTTGATTGTCTTTTCTTGCATTTTTGTCTTGAGGTTTCAAAATCGGCATGGCTACGCTCTACATTTATCTTTATGTAATTTATGTATTGCATAGTCTGCTTTTTCATGCAAAATGGAACGAATACTAGGGGGCAAGTGCATCTAATTGTAGGTCGTTTGCCTGAAACTAAATATGCCCGAAGATGTCTGGAAGTCCAAAACTGTAGCATCTTCTATAGTCTATTGAATTTACTCTACCTCGGTTACTCTTAATTACTGGTTCAACAATAATGTAGTTATTCTGCTGCAATATGTTGTAATAACGATACAGTAGGTCATTTCATTTTAGTTTGCCTGCTGCAATATTTTTACTTGTGCCTAACATAAACACTTGTTTTTCTACCTCTTCAATTCAGCCACCTCTGTGGGAAAAATATCAACGAGATCTCAAAAACTGGGAGTTGGTTATGAGCAAAGCAAACACTCAAATCTCCTATGGGTCACAGAAGAAAGAGTCTCCTATTGAGAAGCCAGCGATGTTTGCCTTCTGTTTTAAGCCTCGAGGTTTGGAAGTCAAGCACAGGGGAACAAAACACAGATCACAGAAGAAACTATCGGTTTATACTCAACATAGCACTGCTTTGGGAGATTATGATGTCTACAATTCATCTGGTAACTCACTTTTACCTGTTTTGTTTTTTACTTACTCTATTGATTCTGGTTCTTCTTTTTGAGCTGTCTTTAAATCCGAAATTTCCATTTCTTCAGCCGGAAGAAGATCTGTTGGTTTTGCCTCTGGAGATGAGAGGTTTTTATATTCAAACCACAGTTATGAGCAAGTGGACGAATTTCCGATGCATCCGGTGTTTCCTGGAACATATTCCCCGCGTGACCTAGGCATGGGATATTTCTCGAACGGTGGAAATGGATATCATAGGAATCACCAAAACAAGTTTCAAAGAATCAACGGGAAGAGGAACATGAGTGAACGGTGGAATGCAGGGTATTCTGAATCCCCCAGTACCAATCTTCTTTGTTACTCAAACGGATCTCAGCGTCTTGATCCGGAAGAATTACATAATAGTACAGATATTGATGAGTACAAATTACGAGATGCAGCTGGTGCTGCAAGGCGTGCATGCGCTTTGGCCAAGCTCAAGCGAGAAAGAGCAGATAGATTGAGGCACAGAGCTGATCTAGCAATCCAGAAAGCTGCAGCTGCTCTCATGTGTGCAGAGGCAGTTAAAGCTTCTATTGTGGACCAAAGCAGCAACGGATTCGAAAGCTCAAGCGAAGGATGAAACGATAGCTACCACTTTTTTTAGTCTGGGTTATGTCTGAGTTTTCTTCTTTTGCGCACCTCTTGAGCAAAAGAAGAGAGAGAGAGAGACAGATTCAACATGTTTTGTTCCTCAGACAAGACCCGGTCTTGACACGAACCCAGATGAGCTCCACTGTACAGCAATTTGCCTCCCTCCCCTTTTAAGTAAGCTATATTTTGATGCAGCAATAACACCGAGTCGGGACTCTGAAACTTTGATCTCGTGTACCCATCGGCCGAAACGTCGTTAGTAGTTAGAAGAGAATGTTTCAAAAAAAAAAGAAGAGGAGATGGTTAACAAAAAACAAAAAGAGGAGATTTGTAAGTAATTTGGTTTATTAGCTTATTTTGATAGAGAGATTCAGTTTGAGCAAAGATTCTTCTACTGCAAGTATTTTGCAGGGCTCTTCTTACTGCCTTCTCTCGCTTCTTTTTTTTCTTGATCAATCATTTGAAAAAATATATCTGAAAACGAAGCCAAATTGCTGCAACATTTGCTAGGTACATGCCATTATGGAAAAAGCTTTAAGATGCATAACGTATTATTATTGGTTGGAAAAAAAATGTCAAGTATTTTATACTATAAATAAGTTTAGAGGACTTTTCCCCGAAAACCGACAACAAAGTTCAAATAGATGGTTCCAGACATGATTTCAGTGTTCTTTTTTTTTTTTTTTTAAGATTTCAGTGTTCATCTAAAAAAAAATATTACAAAGAGATTTGTAAGGAAGCTGGTTGTATTCCTTTTCCTTCATTGTGGTTTTGTTATAGATAATTTTGTTTTCAATGAGACAGAAGAATGCACAAGTGATAGACGTCCAATTCCATTAATGTTTATCAAATGTGACCTCTGTTACAAGTAAAGATAGATAATAAGATATATTGGGAATGGATTAAAGAGCTAAAATGAGAGAGAGAGGGAGAGAGAAGGTGGTGAGAGAAATATCAACGGCGGGAAACCTTTCAAGTCAGCAGCAGTTTTGTTGGGAATGTCTCTCCTTCGTTTGCTGGCTTCTTCTCTATTTTTGGCATCTCTCTGTGAAACCTGAGACATAGACCTTCTTTCTCTTCTTTCCACCTCCATTCTCTTTTTTCTGTTGTTTCTTCTTCTTCTTCTTTATCATAAGGTTTTTCTCTTATTCTTTTTTTTTTTGCATTTTTCCTAATACTTTTCAACATTTAGAGCACAAGGGTTTCAAACTTGAAAATTTACTGGGTTTTTGAGTCCATGTTTCTCGCCTTTTACATGAGTTATACTAGGCGGATGATGAAACTATTAGCAAGAAAATAAACAATCTTGCAACTCTTATCACATATAAATATTCCTTCATTTGCGCTGCAAGATTAAAGATTGAAATGTGCACAAGACAACAACGTTAAAATGCATTTGGCTCAAGATTGTATTTGATTTGTTTTTTTTTTTTTTCTTTTCTCAGGTGATTTGGTAATAATAATGGCATTGCTCTTTGATAGGATTTCTCATTTGAGATAGTTTTGATTTACTTGAAGAGAGAGGGGCTTTTTTTATTCCAGCAATGGGGAGCAGGAACAAGGAAGACGAACGAACTGAAAAGGCCATCCGGAGTTTATTGAAGCTTCCCGAGAACCGAAGATGCATCAATTGCAACAGTCTGGTACACGTTTTGAGCTGCCTGCACTATTTTGTTGGCCAATGATCATCTTCAATTTTTTTTAATATCTCATATAAACTAGTAGAGTATCTGAGATTTTGGTAGGATTTTTCTTAATTTCCTAGTCAATGATCATCTTTTAGAGTGAGCTTGAACAAAATATAACACGCTTCCCATATATATATATATTTCTTAAGTAAACATTTCCTCTATGTGGCTCATTGTAGTTTTCTTCTTAAGTTTAAAACATCTGAGTCCTGCAGGGTCCACAATATGTCTGCTCAACTTTCTGGACTTTTGTCTGCATCAACTGCAGCGGAATCCAGTAAGTCTTTTTTTCCTTTTCTCTGTTTTCAGGGTTTTCCTCTTTTCCTTTCATTTTCTTTTTATTTCCTTATCAAAGCTATATTAATTTTGGTTTACTTAGCATGTGTGAAAGACTCCTTTTCTTTTTTTGTGTATCAATCCAGTCGAGAATTTACACATCGTGTGAAATCTATATCAATGGCCAAGTTCACTGCAGAGGAAGTTAGTGCACTTCGCGCAGGAGGAAACGAGGTTTGTGATATTGAACAATTATTACCTTTTATCTGCTTCATTATTTTGTAAAACTTTCATTAGTGATCTTTTGCTTTGTTCTTTGCAGCGAGCCAGACAAATTTATTTCAAAGAATGGGATTCTCAGCGTAATGCTTACCCCGATGGCAGGTTCTTGAAACATTTATAATTAATATCTCAGCCTGTGTTAATTAACACTAGCTAGGAGTAGCAAAACTATATAAGTTTACAACCTCCATTTTTTTTCTTCTTTTTTTTCAGTAATATTTTTAAGCTCCGAGATTTTATCAGGAGTGTCTATGTGGACAAAAGATACAATAGTGAGAGCAATGACAAGAGCTCACAGCTGAAACCGGTAAACTCTTTTCCACTATATATTGATAAATTCATTTATTCAACTTAATTAGCCAAATCTGAAGCTCATTTTGGGAAAATAGTATTACTATATGTTTCCAATGTTGAGAGGATGTTGTTCCTCTTTAACAGTCTTCAATCTCGTTTTGCAAATTTACTTCAGGCTGTCACAGAGGATTACAGGGAAAGTAAGAAGGCCAGTGCAAACTTGTTGGGATCTAGAAGCTTCCACTCTCTGGATAAATCTGAAACTGAAAGAGCTAGTGCTGTTGGGAGGAGTGGAAATGAATCTCTCAAGTTTTATTTTGATGATAAGAAACATAAACAACAAAACGTCACGCATAATAATCCAAAGTCTAGAGGCTTACCAAAGAGTCCTGTCCGGTTTGAGATTGTTGATGATAGGTTTAGAGACGATGGAAGTGTTAAGAGATATGATGCTCGTAGAGAGTCAAGAGGAAGCTCCAAATCACTTGACCTCTCAAATAACAAAGACACGTCAAGTTTTCCCATTGTACGCCATGCCAGTGAGCTCTTAGACGAAAATGCTCCTCATTTGCATGTAAGAAATGTTGTCAAAGTTGAGAAAAAGAAGAATCCAGTGAATAATCAGGTAATATAGAGAGATCTGTTAGTCCAATATATACAGTTATGTTTTATACATTTATCTACAGTTAAGAAGTTGCATTTTGCAGACGACTGCATCATCTGATAAGATGGACAATCCTGTAAATTTGATTGATGATGTACCAGTTTCAGAAACTTGTGATGAAAACATCACTCAAACTTCGAATGAACTTCCTGCATCTCAAAAGACGACTGAGGATCCAGCTCCTAATTCTTTGGAAGCTTTGTTGTTCGGACTCTCTGTTCCTTCTATTGTCTCCCAAACAAACAACTCTGTAGACAATTATACTGCAGATAACCTTGAGACCCAGGCGATGCCAAGAACACCAGACAGTGTTTCCTATTTGGTCAAATCACCTACAATTGCGCAAGCCGGTTCTTCAGGGCCAGAGTTTCCTGTTGCTGTTGATAGCTTAGATACAAAAGATATGGCTACACCAAGTGTAGATGCAAATAACCAGGTTGGTGATCTGTGGTAGTTTTGAAAACAGACAGATTTACAAAGAAAACAACAAATAGGATCATTCGAGTATCCAGGATCCAAGAGTTTTATAAAAAAAGCATGATCATTAACAGACTTTGAAAAATAAGTATCAAATTAAAACTATACCTTTCTAACATAAAGATTATTTCTTCATGTGCTAACACAGGTGGAATCATCTATAGAACCTAAGGAAAAAGAACCATTAGGTCCCTCTATGAAACAGGCAAATATGGATTTCTCAAATTCTGCTCATGGAGTTGGATCGGAGCATCAAGATGAGAAAAAATCTTGCGTAAGAACGGCGCTTCCCGAGGTAACACCTCTTTTCTTTTAATTTATATATAGGATACTCTTTTGGCATCGCAAATCATAAGAATCTAACCATTGGCAGGATCTTTTCACTGGAGGCTTCTCATTTGCCTCTCCACAAGTTCATGTACAACATCATGGCATGGGATATGGCATGCAATATTACCAATATCCTGTGGTATATTTTCATTTGGCATTATTGTAGATTGTTGCAGAATGTGATCGATAGGTTATGAGCTGATCTTACCTGATATCTTTTTCTTGGCAGACTACGGGTGCTTTTACATATACGGCAAAACCATCAAATCCCTTTGATCTTAGCTCTGATGATACAGGTCCAAACCAAGCACCACAAGTATGAAATTCTTGCTGCTAAATTATCTACACATTGATTATAAATCATATGTTTCACCCGATGAAAATGCAAATCCTCAGTTTGAATTAATTGTTTTTTTCTACAGTTTCCTTCTATGGCATACGTACAAGGAGGAGGCTTGCCTCATGTTTCAGCACCTAGTGGATTTTCAGATTCTTCAAGTCCAGCTGCAGATTCGGTTAGACTGATGGCCTCTCAGTCGCCATTTTATACAACTGCTTCATCTCCAAACTCTCCATATCTTGCATCCAATATTTCCCCTGGTGAGCTAGAATTTCTGTATTAATTACGTACAACGCTTTCAGTTTTGAATTGGAGTCTATTCTAAGAGTTGTGTCATGGAGAATTAGGTGCTTATACAGCGCAGCAATCACATGTGAATATGTCCCCATCATTCAGGTAATTTTTCTGACCCTTCTTAGAGTTCATTGAATCAATTTATGGTTCTTGAAACTAGAGTACGTTCTGTTTTATAGCAAAAAAAAAAATGATTTTGTGTGCAGAAGGCAAGAGATGATGAATGGCCTAGGCACTGAAGGAATCACATATCATCAAGCAAACAATGGATATCCTTCTCCAAACCCAAATGCTTATATTTCTAGAGGAAATCCATTTGAATGAGAGAGCTTTAACGTCACAACTGCGCAGAAGATTTGATTAAAAGCATCTTAATGGAAATGGAATGAGATTATAACCGCTAAGATTTTAGTCTGAAAGCATGACTGCTTCAAGATGAAACAGAGGTTTCTATCATCTAATACTTCCCTTGACATTCTTTTAAACTCTCATCCTTCTATTGCTTCTTGATCAAATGTATATCAATGTGGGAGGATTTTAACTGTAACCAAAAGATTACATATCTATATAATTTATCTTTACAACCTGTTTCAATGCTCATAGATTGTGTTGGCGGCAAAATAATACCTTATGTTAATTAAATTACAAAAACAAGTATCACAAATTCATATAACTGTTATAACACATATCATATATGGACTCTTATACCAGCCCATTAGGCTCATCAGGGCATTGTACTTAACCTAGATTCCCTATGTACTCTATATATACATTCCAGTGATTAATAAAATTTCTAAGTTTTCACAACACGTTATCAGCACGATAAAACTCTCTGAGCGAAAAACCCTAATAAATCCGGCCACCACCAAAACCCTAAAAGCAAGTCGAAACTTAAAAGACGCATATCTTCCAAACCGTGAGGAACCAGAAGACGATCTACATATCAAATCGAAGCCCTCGACGAGACGAATCTACTGGTGAAAACCGTTTGTCGATCCAACGTCGGACGCGCCCTCACGCACACTTACAGTACACGACGATCAACCGAAAAAAAAAAAAAAACCAGATCCGAGTTTTTCCTTCTTCAACCAGCAGCTTCTCCAGTTTTGGTGATCAATCCTTGGAATTTGTAGCGGCTAACTGAGGTCTATTAGCTCCCAGTTTCATTAGCCTGTCAGAAATCCAAAGGTGGAAAAGGTATCTTCTAAAACTGAGAGCCATAGAACCTGTTGTTTAAACACTTCAAAACCCTATAAAAAAAAAAAAAAAAAAAAAAAAAAAAAAAATCGATCTCTAATTGATTGAAAGTGTTTGATACTCTGATGATTGATTGATAACTTGTTGATTGATTGTTTATGCATGTTCAAAGGTTTTAAACTCGTTTTATAAAACCCTAATCTACAAAAACCTAACAACCGTTTTTGGCCATGTTTATGGCATAAACCTATTCGATTTTCTTCATGTTTAATAAGCTTGTTGCAGCTTATTTGATTGTTGATTCTCTTGCTTGAAACACTTGATTGAATAAACTAAGAAAATCAACCCTAAATCCTAAGCTTGATTCACGATTTTGTAATCTTCAAAATCGTAAGTCATAATGCTTAAACCCTAGTCCTTTTCACGTGATTTCTTTGTTGTCCTTGTGAAATTATTAAAACCATCGACCACAGATCCTATAGATCTCGAAATCACATCCAAAATATGTTTTCCAAACCGTTAAAACCCTAGATAAAACCCTAATCATATTCGGCTCCCCTAGGGTTCCTCCTAAACCGCCTAAAACCGGCTAAACCTGGTTCTCATTAACCGAAATTATATTCGGCTTTAACCGATTAAATCACAGCTATTAAACCGACATCATGTTCGGGGTAACTAAAACCATACCCTTTAAAATTTACTATTTCCGAGAAAGTTCCCTCTAATAGAAAGTTTCCTCATATAAAAACTTTCCTCATATAGACATTTTCCTGACATAGAAACTTTCCTCATTTAGAAAATTACCCAAATTAGAAACTTTCCAAATTTAGAAACTTTCCTAAAATAGAAATATTCTCAAAATAGAAAGTTTCATCATCAGCATTCAAAATTTTCTCAAAACAATCCCTAACAAAATCAATCTCATGTTTCAGATGTCAAACATTCAGAAATGTGAATTCGAGGCCCTTCACGTCTCCGGGCATAACTACCTCGAGTGGGCCCTAGACATGCGCTTGTTCCTTGCATCGAAAGAACTCGATGCATGTATTACCGACGGTAACACCGCATCCCGTAAGGGACAGTCTCAGGCGATATGTCACATACGCCATCATCTGGCCCCGAGCCTTAAGCAGCAATATCTCACTCTTGAGAATCCACTTGAATTGTGGCAAGCGCTGAAAAAGCGATATGACCATCAGAAAATGGTCCAGTTGCCTCAGGCAGATTTCGACTGGAAGAACCTTCGGTTCCAGGACTACAAATCCGTAGATGATTACAACAACGAACTCTTTCGTATTGTTGCCATCCGGAAACTCTGTGGCGAGGATGTGACAGATAATGATCTCCTCGAGAAAACATTATCCACATTCAGCACAGAGAATGTTGTGCTCCAACAACAATACCGTGCAATGAAACACACATTGTACGAAGACTTGTTGTCCTGTCTTCTCCTCGCTGAGAAGAATAACCAGCTGCTTATGAGGAACAACGCTATGAGGCCCCCGAGATCGGCTCCTGTCCCAGCTTCTCGTCAAGAGTCCTACCATGTTCAACCCGATAGATCCTCAGATCACCGCCGTGGACGTGGTAATGGACGTGGTAATGGCCGAGGACATGGACGTGGAAGACGTGGACGTGGACATGGTCGTGGCAACCGACCTAACCTCAGTTATGGTCCTGGTCGTGGTCGAGGCATCACCAAGCCGACCCGCCACACCAACCCCGATCACTGTGACGACCTCCTTGATCATGAGAACACCACAAACGAGCAGACCGACCCCATGGACTATGAAACAGCTGATCTCCTCGATTAATTCAATCATCTGAAACTCTGATACAATTTGATTTTGTTCTTTATTTTTTTCATTTTGGGATTTGTTTCATTTTGTTTTTCCATTTGCCTTTATTCTCAGACACTGCTTTACTTTATGATTTATCACATTTTCTGAATTCCTCAATACTGAATTCTATCTTCTATTCATAATAAAGCACACCAGCAAATGGAAACCATAGTCGTAGATAGTGGATCCAGCCACACTATCTTAAGAAACAAAAGTTACTTCATAAACCTAACCTATCAAACCGCAAATATTAGCACCATCGCGGGTCCCTCAAACCTTATCGAAGGATATGGCCATGCCTATGTGTTGCTATCAAATGGCACACAACTTGAAATACCAGATGCTCTATATTCTCCTAGTTCGAAGATAAATCTTCTGAGCTTCAAGGATATAAGACAGAATGGTTTCCACATAGAAACCCAAGGTCAAGGGAACAAAGAATCCCTCCTAGTCACTAAAACCGTAGACGGCCATAAACAAATCCTCGAAACCATACCCGCGCTCTCTACTGGACTTTACAATGCTAAAGTCAGTATGATTGAAGCTAATACCACTCTCAAAGCCCGGTTTACTGATTATACTATTTGGCACGACCGGCTCGGTCATCCCGGTGCAAATATGATGCGTAAACTAATTCAAAACTCTCAAGGGCATACCCTCAAAGAAAACCGAGCTTATCCTCAACACCTCATGTGCACAGCTTGTTCTCAAAGCAAATTGATCACTCGGCCTTCACCAGTTAAAATCTCTAAACAAACACTTCATTTCCTAGAAAGAATCCAGGGCGATATCTGTGGACCTATACATCCATCTTCCGGACCATTCCGGTACTTCATGGTCCTTATAGACGCATCGACCCGTTGGTCATATGTTTGTCTCTTGTCCTCTCGGAACCAAGCCTTCGCTAGGTTCTTGGCCCAAATCATCAAATTGCGGGCCCATTTCCCTGACTTCCCACTAAAGACTATCCGCCTTGACAATGCTGGTGAATTTACCTCACAAGCGTTTAATGACTACTGTATGGCCATGGGGGTAACCGTGGAACATCTTGTAGCACATGTCCATACTCAAAATGGATTGGCTGAATCATTCATTAAACGCATTCAATGGATAGCCCGACCATTACTCATGAGATCAAAGCTCCCGGCCTCAGCATGGGGACATGCAGTATTACATGCTGCTGAACTCATACGCATCCGGCCATCTAGTGAACACAAATATTCCCCATCCCAACTACTCTCGGGTCATGAGCCAGATATCTCCCATCTCAAAACATTTGGGTGTTCAGTATATGTACCCATTGCTCCACCACATCGAACCAAAATGGGACCTCAAAGAAGGATGGGAATATATGTTGGTTTTGACTCTCCCACCATCATAAGATATCTCGAGCCAACCACTGGAGATCTCTTCAAGGCCAGATATGCGGATTGCTAATTCGATGAATCGGTATATCCCTCTTTAGGTGGTGAGACAAACAAGCTGGTCAAAGATCTTTCATGGAATCAAACATCATTAAATTGGCAAGATCCTCGGACTCTAGAATGTGATTCAGAGATCCAAAAGATTATTCATTATCAAAAGCTAGCTAATCAATTGCCAGATTCCTTTGCTGACCCGACCAAAGTAACCAAATCGTACATCCCAGCTTGTAATGCACCAGTACGAATAGCTGTCCCAACGGGACAGACCCAAGTTGCTACAGAGTCTGCACCACGTCTCAAACGGGGCAGACCTCTCGGTTCCAAAGATAAGAATCCCCGAAAATCAAAGAAAGGTGCAATAACCGAAACCGGGATTCCTGCAATATCAGACATAGCCGCGGCTGAGACTCAATCTAATGAACCCTCAATGGAAGTTCGGGACGCCGAATCTCCAGGTTCAGAAGATAACAATGAGATCTCCATCAATTACAATATGTCCGGAATACAATGGAATCGAAAAGAAGTCGACTTAAATGCACTCTTTGCATACAAAGTAGCACTTGATGTTGCGCTCACGCAAGAGGATCTAGAACCCACGTCAATAACACAGTGTACACATCGAACAGATTGGCTAAAATGGAAAGAAGCCATAAACGTGGAGTTAAAGAGTCTCAAACTCAGAAACGTGTTCGGTCCGATCATCCGGACCCCATCACACATCAAGCCAGTGGGCCACAAATGGGTCTTTGTGCGCAAAAGGAACGAACTCGGTGAAGTCGTTCGATACAAAGCACGGCTTGTAGCACAAGGATTCTCACAGAGACCCGGAATCGATTATGAGGAGACTTATTCTCCAGTGGTG